AAACAAACCTTGAAGAGGTATTTGTGTATGATCCCCGAGAATGTCTTGATGTCTGTCATCGTTGGCTTCACTGGACAACTTTTTTTACATGCGAAAGAAACACTGACACTTAAACTTGAATACATCAAGATCCCAGAGTTGGATTTAGACTGAAATTTTATTAACTGTCGGAAGATCGGTGATAATCTAACCATGGTGCAGTGAGGGAACTTGCACAAAATCAAAATCATTAACTTTTCACTAATTTGACAAACTACGTTTTGGTTAGTACGAACAAGTCGATTCAGTTGAGCTCAAACGGACATTATTTCAGATAAGAATTTGTGTTAAATTGTTACCCTCCTCTCTTAAAATTGTTACTTTACAAGGAATAAAGAAAATGTTCCACTAGACATAGATTGACATACTTTCAGAGGTTCTTTTATTCCGAATGGTGTTAGTAAATATGAATAAAGGTTTCAGCCGTCCCTGCTTAGCTAGAGTTCCCTTGTAATTTTTTGCTCATTGTTACCGAGTGCTGGTTTTGGTTGGGAACCACGCCTTATCAACACTTTCCTGGGGTGAACGCCCAGTTCCAGTGACAACCGAAAAATCTGGGCAGATGATGAGCACTCAAGCTACCCTTTCTTCCCATCCTCGTATTCTACGTAAAAACTTTGGCGACAAAAGAGCGAATTGCGGCAGAATTGGGTAGGGCTGAAAGGGTTGAAGCACTGAGCAAAATCACTCGCTCTGATAAGTTGCTTTCAGCAAATGTCCTGTTCTTCGAAAAGGGTCTCAGTGTCTCTCACACTGTTGTAGACCTGTAACTCCCAGAAGGGATTTACATGTAATTTTTTCTAACAATATTTAACCATTTCTCAGTGCATTGACTATGAGAATAAACAAGTTATTAGCTTCAGGGTGTCATTGATACATGACATCAAATTCTCTGACCAAACCAATTTATGAGGCAGTGTATAGCAGCTAGAGGAAAGAATTATGAACTACAGCTTGGGGCTTGAGCTAACAGTCTCAACAACTTTGTCAGGATCTTTCTCAGGGTCAGGCTATAAAGAATAGGATAATGTTCTATCACACAACATTCCCTTTCCTTCTTAGTCAATTGTGTCAGGGACCATAGAAAACTAATTTCCCCACAGCGTTTTAAGTGAAGGTTAAACACCCTTCCCCAATGTTGACACGAGGGAGTTGGAATAACTGTACAGGAGAAGTGATTGGGAGCGAGGCAGCAAAAGCTTGGTTTTCGAATTGTTGACAAAGATATGTCTAATTGTATTTTCAAAATCCCATTCTCATCTGCAGAACAATTCAGTCCTCCGGGATGTCAATCGAGGAAACATGGCTGTTGTTGGAATAATTTACGTGCCAGAGGGCCAAATGGACAAGGATGCCCAGGTAAGTGACACCTTGGCGACCTCAAAATCAGTTATCCACACTGTCTACCATACATTCCTATACAGTCCAACCGTCAAAGTTCAGCCTTTGTTTAACAAAACCACATTCTAAGCCATCTCCAATTTAGCCGAACTTTTCATCCGAGCATTTAATTTTGTGAACAGTGTCAAGAGGGCTGAAAGCCAAAAGTGGAAGGACATATATTTAATTAAATTAACCCTCTCAGAGAGAATCCCTGAGGCCCACTGCTTGCATCTAACCAGACCTCGTTTAATAACCGGTCCTCAGAGTTTGGTGATAAATAAAACAATGTCCCCAAGTTGATCTGTTTCTTTATTCTCATTACCTTTCTACTCCAAATTGTGTTAAAATTGGGAGGAGAAATTATTCTTTTGTAATTCCTGGGAGTAAAAGGGTTAAAAAAAATAAAATAAAAAAATAAAAACCAATAAATTACTTTTCACTTTTAACTCAAATTTAATGACAATCAGCATGTGCAACATTTTTCAGTAAAACAATGGTATTCAGTGCAACAGCTCTCAATCCTTGATGAATGTGGAATGTTTCATGAGACTCCCCTCCTCGACTCTACTCACAATATGCTTATTTCTTGATTATCTTAGTCTGTCAAGACTCTTATAGACGCTTGTGCAAACTTTTTGGCCACCTATGCTCCCAAAAGGGAACAAGTGGAAAGTTCGTTCGATATCACTGCTTCCAAACATGTGGATGGTGTGACAAGTAGGTCATTTATGTCAATCAATCTTGTACTTGTGTTGTGTTACACCTGCCTGTCTGCCCACCTGAATTGTTCAAAAACAAATAATAAATTACTGCGAGTTGTTGGAGACAACCTACTGGATAACTTAGAAAAGAAGTTGGGTCAAAGTTTGCATCACAGAAGCATTGTGTGAGTGCTTCTCCTTAGACCATTTCAAATAATACAATAAACACCCTTATGAGCCTTCTACACTTACCCTCCTCCCCCTCCCCCTAAAGCCTTCCAATCATCTCCTCATCCCCCCCTTCCTCCTTATCTCACCATATGGAGTCACCAATAATAATTGCAAATTGCAACAATTCAATTTTGGTTCTGCTGTTCTTCATCATTCGATGCTATAGTGCTGAACTGCTATACAAAAAAATTGTCTAGCAGCATGGCAGTCAAAACATGGTGAGCCAAAGTGTTATTAATAACTCTATATCACTGTAAAACAAATTATTTCATTTAAGACTTGCACTAAAGCTCATTTACATCTGTAGGGTTGCTCAGCTCAGAGCTGAAGAGTCAACTGGTGCTGTGTAGTCTATGGAAGTTCTCTGTTGCAACCAACTATTAACAGTGTCTTGGTATGAAACCTTTGAAGTACTGCAGACACAGACATGATGAAAGAACCGTCCATTATGAGGACTTGTGCACACTTAATCAAAGACATGTTAGCCACCCACAATGATTCTCAATATCATTGTGTATGTTTAGTGAAAAGGCTCACACAGCACAAAAGTGATTTCAAAGAAAAACACTTGCACAAAAATTTTGTATTCCACAAGTTAGCTACACATGGTGAAGGTTGTGAGAAATCTCAGTTTGTAGCATTTTGGTGTTTATATCAATCTGTATCTACAATTATAATTGAGGGAATTTGTGCAAAAAGGGCATATATTGCTTTTGGGGCCTACTTCCATTTTTCTGCAGCATCAAGCAAAATTTAGCCCTACTGACTTGTTTGCCGAGAAAAAGTCATCATCATTTGTTTGGGCTGACTCAATCCTTGTTTTTGAGAAACATGTATGCAAACTGTTTTATACATTGGGGTATAATCATTTATTGGTGCCACTATCTTAATCTTGAATGGCAATAATTGTAAGTCTTCCAGGTCACAGTTTTAATGAAGTCATATGTGTATGTAAAGAAAACACTCTTTGAAAATGTAAGGCAAACGTTATTCCTACAGACAATAGTTTTTCAAGGATGTATAATAAAACAGTAATTGCATTCAGTATTCCCAAGATACTTCTGTCACTAACACAAATCATAACCTTAATAATTTTTGTTATCATGTTTTACTCTTTAACTCTCCCAAGATCTGATTGTTAATTCTCCCCTCTAGCTTATAAATTAGTTCAGAGAAGTTGGTGTTGAATCAAGATAACAACTTCTACCTGAAAAGTTTGAGTATTCTTGTTACCTGCTTGCTGGAAAAGGTACAGATATTACTGGGAGAATTTACATCTTAAACACTTCTGAGAGTTAAAGATGAACATCACTCAATTCTCTCCTCAATAATCATTACTAACACAGACCCAAGCCCTAACAGCTCCTTTTATATTGAATTATCCTTTCAGAAATGATAATAAATTAAGTTCTGTTTCCCATAATATTTCTTCTTAGTCTAAGGCAGTGTACACATATATTTATAGAAAAAGTCACTATATAATTTATGCCCACTTTTTTTCTACCAAGAGTGTTTTCTGAATCAATTAGATTTTTTAATGAACCTCTTTCATTACAGCAGGCTTAATAAATATCCTTCATGTAAATTAGCCTTACCAGCCCTATCAACCTGAGTAAAACCACAAGAATGCTAGCTAAAAAGCCAGGCTGAGAAGACCTATTTGCATGTGTCTAATAATAAGATAATCATTCCTACTGCAACAAAAGATGTCTCTTTGTCCTACAACAGCCCAAGAAGCATTGGGGGTCATAAATCAATATTGGGAAGAAATATTTTTTAGGGAACCAAAAGACAGTACATTTTCGCTTAACTCTAAGAAGGTCATACTGTAATATATAGCCAATTGAATCAACATATACCATCTGAGTGGCACAGCAGAATATTTGGAATAAAGTAAAACTTAACAAATGGTATCTTTGTGATATTAAAATTCTGATATTTCCTTTCCCATGTAGTTCAAAATTTGCTGTTAGCACTTCAAGGTGTTTAAGAATTCCCCTTTCTAAATTACTAACAAATAGGTCCCGAATAAACTGCAACAGACACTAGTTTCACAAAAACAGAGTTCTCACAATCAAGATGGCTACCCCCAAAAAAGGCTTGATGATCTGATAAGGTGACAAAGGCAAAATGGAAATTTGATTTTTACCTCAATCACAACCACAACTGCCAGTTTCTTGTTTCCCTTGCAATTTCCTAACAAAGAAAGTTAATTTTGTTATCACAGGATAAAAATAGACTAACATTTCTGTTGTTTAGTTTAATCAAGGATTAAGCTGCAAGTGTTAATCTCACATGAAAAATATTCTCCCTTTGGGCTGATACCCAATTTCCTTTGTCTCCAATCCCTCCTTGTGCATTATCAGAGTAGGTTTAAAATGAGGTTTTTGGTGTATTTTGAAATCAACCTTGATTTTAAAGGCAACTCATGGAGTTAACCTTGAATTCAAGGTTGACTTGAAATCAACCTTAAGTTCTTGCACATTTTGAAGTCAACCTTGATTTCAAAAGAAGGTTGCAGGTAAAGATTTTTGGTCAGGGAAGACATATCCCTTGTACAGTGAAGAAAGGGGTACAAAAAAGTAAAGGTTGAATCCATCACTCACAAAAGAAATAAAAACTGCTCTTGATCCAAAGCATGAAGAGTTGATTGCTAAGAAGGATAACAATATCATGGAGTTGCCGAGGTCCATACAGGCAGAAAAATGGAAATCAGTTTGACAGGCGGAAAGATGGAAATCAGTTTGACTTCTTCATGGCAGATAATACAGAAGGTTTGATGTAAGCTGGGATGGTGAGACTGAATCAGTTGATTGAGGCATTCAATTATTGTATTCTCAATGTATAAGTCAATGTCAGATCATCAATTTTGGGTTCATTAGGAAGTGCTGAGGAAGCCCAGCATGAGTCCTTCATTCTAGTTGAAGATGCAATCAGAAAGCCAGACATTTCAAAGAGTGTTCAGAGGTTTCAGCTCACCATTGATGAAGCAAAAGTCAGGCTTGATCTTGCAGTCTCACCAGGCACTTGGTTCATGCCCTCAACTACTCTTCTGAACACTCTGAGTACTGTTGGGTATAATAACACCTGAAGAAGGCAAGTTCTGACATAAAGCTCATAGTCAAAAAATCAGTGAATTTGGAGATGAAATCAGTTGGAGGAAGGCACATGAATGGGGGCTCATCAAAAAATAACAGACCAACCTCTCACCAGTCAAATCCAATTAATCAGACTTCAACTGAAGTTCATGTGAAGACAAAATCATCAAATAAAGATAAAACACAGAGCTCAAGCAAGAGAGACTAATCATGATATGGTAAAGGTCAGTTTGATTTCTGCAGGTCTGGTCTTGGCCTTCTTGATTCATCATTTTTTATTCTGAAATCACTCAACCATGAATATTGCAACCCCCAGGATCAGAAGCCATGCATTTTGACTGAGGAAGCTGATAACTGATTCAGCAGCTCTGGATATGAAGCCAATGATCAAACTTATTAGACTGGGTAGAATTGCAGCAAATTTACCTCCAAGAGTCTTAAAACCATCTCAAACTCCCTTGGCAACAGACTTAAGGCCTTTTCCAACTGCCAAGACAACAGCTGAAATTGTGAGACCATATTTCTTGAATATGTTTCTCACTTTCTCTTGGAGGGATAAGAGTAGGTAGCAATGAAATTTACCTACTTCCTTATAAATACTTGTAAATACTCATGAGTTTGTTTAGCTGTTGCACCATCTTCTAAACAGGTACTGTCAGAAAAAATAGATTTGATTGACCTTTAGGCAAACGACAACAAGAAGATCATTCAAGATGATAATATTCACACATTCACTCATGGACACTTCAGAACTCATGAGTGAGACATTGTGAAAAATCTGAAGAGGGTGTGAAATTTTTCAAAGGACACAATTCCCTGAATAATTTAACTTGTCTTTGAAATAAAGGTTGACTTCAAAATGTACAAGAACTGTACTTTGAAATCAAGGTTGATTTCAAGGTTAGCTTCATGAGTTGCCTTTAAAATCAAGGTTGATTTCAAAATGCACCAGAAACCCCATTTTATAACTACTTTCAGCCTTAAGACGCTAAGGAAATTGAGGATTTATCAAGGCAAATTTTTTTTCATAAGATTAAACTTTACTCACAACATAAACAGTGGATTCTGTGGTTGAATGAAAGTAAATACTGATTCAGCCCATAGGAACAAATGCTGAAGTGAGAGGGCTTGAAACTCACCTTTATTTTGGTGAATCATGTTGGGTCAGAGGCCCTCTCTTTTTTGGTAAGGTGGGGTTAGGAGGAGTTCTGAGGGTATCCCCCTCTAGGGGGAATTGTCAAAACCTACAAGCTCTTTTACCACTTGGGATAGTTTTACACACTCTTGAGGATTGAAATAGCATATCAGAGAGCAGTCTAGAGATGATGGACATCACACACCACCAGAAAAAATTGAACAAACATTTAAGCTTACATACCATTATGACATTAATGAAAAATAGCATTTTTGTCTCTAAGTAATACACTCAATGTTGTCATTAATTGTCTTTAATACATTTTCTCCCAAAGAGTGGAGCCATGTCCTCTCCTCCCCTCTGCTTCTCTAGCCCCACTTTAACAGCAAGTAAACTGAACTGAACTGGACTGAACTGGATTCAAACACGCCAATTTTTAAGTTATAATAATTTGAATTTCTTTGAAAGGAAAAACCATACAAAACCCGAAAAATCAAATACCGAGAACTACGCAAGGGAACGAAGTGACCCCATCCCCAGTACTGTACATACAACAAAATCAACATTATATTGCTCCGACTAGAGCACCGATTTTTTCTGTCTTTAATGTTAAATAGCGATTTGTTAAAATTCCTACCATTGTTTGCGAGCATTGAGAGATACATGAAAAACCTTCTTACGCAAACAGTGCAATATCGACTCTTTTTCTTGCTCCGCTGACGTTTAAATTAAGTAAATGAAATAAGTTACCTTTTATTTTCGGAACATGAGCGTTGAAATGCCTCCCATTCTTTTGTGCATTTAGATCTGTCACCGTTATTTCTATCCAAGCATTCTTTCAATGCGTTATGATCACAAGATGGCGTTACAGTCCTGAAATTTTCTGTATCAGCGTCCGCCATGTTGGGTTCAAATAACCATAACACACTGCGAAATTAGCCGGCTGCTCATGCGCATTTTAGTCGCTTTGCATCATGGGTTGGCCGTTTTTACGAAGTGCTTGAAATAGAGCGGTGTTTGAGTTCAAAATTGATAGACTGTGAAGGAGAAATAGCCGATTCTGTGGTATTTTATGCGGTCGAAGAGCCGCTTGTGAAGGTGACGAGGATAATTCAAGGCGAATCTAAGACAAGGTTGGTCTTCATCAGAGTAAAAGCTTTGTAAATACGAAAACTGACGTAATTCTTGATGGCTAGCCAGCGCGTAGTTAGCTCAGAGCATGGGTGGGTTTAGCTTGCCTCTGTTAAAATATGCGTAATATTATGACTGTGTGGCAATCTGACATTCACTTAGCTTTTTTGTTTAAGGCATAACCCTTTTGAATTTCAACAGTGTTTCCTCTAACGCCCGACAAGTCTTGTTTCTAAAGCGAAAACGATCTTTCAACCAAGGCCCCTAGAAAGTTGAGTTTCACACTGATCATGTTAGGTGACTTTGTTCAATGATCTACTTTTATCAAACGATATTACGATATCCTAACCGGTACAATTGAACCGGTTTTCTCTCTTGTGGTAGGTTCCTTTAGATAAAGACTTGCACCTTTTGTTGATTTCTTGTTTTCTGTATGGCCCCTCAGAATAGCAGAGGTTGTGGCTGTGAGCGTTACTCGAACAATTGTGATGGTTACAGTGTACAGATCACCGCGAAAGGAATGTTTTCACAGCAATCCAAGGTCGTAGTTGCTTGATTTAGATGAAAGTTGATTGAGAAAATTAGAAAAAATTCTCAGCCATGGTGTTGACTCCCAGACAGAAAGAAGAACTGTAAGTGATTGTATATTTCTCTATTATTACGAATTGATTGACCTGTAGTTTTTAGGTCGTGTGTACGATCGGAGGTGTACACGATTTTTCTCTGTACAATTTTTGATATGAAGTTTTTGCGGCGAGCAAGAACGGGCAAGATCTAACTTTTTGTCGACAGCTATCATGTCGAATACGTTTATTACAAATTAACCTGGTAAATTTTGTAAGCGGTCAGGATCATTGCGGATTAGGGCATTGTACTTAATTATAAACAGGCAGGCAAGAGTGATTCTCTCAAGCTCCCGTTGAAACAAAGTAACCTCTCCTTATGGACAGCCCTAGCAGTTAATTTTTCTTAAAAATTTATTCCTTTTCTTCTATAGTCATAAAGCCATAGCAGATTATCTATACCAATGTGGCTTTGAAGATGCCTTGAATGCTTTCAAAAAAGATGCCAGCATGGTGAGAGACTTGCATTAACCTTGTTTTAGATGCACTTAGTTTTTGTCATATGTGTTCTTTTGTGGTGTCATATTACCTCGATATTTAAACAAAAATCTACACAAACCCTCCATTTATGGTGACATTCATAGATTTAATTGTTATTACAACCATTACAACCTCTAAACTCATTTTAGACATGTGTGAACATACACTTGTTCAAAGTTCATTCTTCGCCATCAGCTCTAAACATTTGCACCTGTGATGTTGTGTCAAAAAGTAATTGATACAGCCCTAGTGGCTGTAATCTAATGGCACATATTTTAAGTGATGCCATAAAATTGGCATTGTTTAATTTCTTTTAATGTCACTGTTTGCATTTGTCCTTTCACTTAATGTGCTTGAATATTTCAATTAATTTTTTAGTCTATAACTGTTATATGGACTCTGGGGGGGTTCTTCTTGTAACTGTGAAATAAACAAAGAGAAGTATGTTAAAGGAATTTCAATAACCATAATTATTAATAATTAACTTTAGATCATATTGATGAAGTTATTTATTTGCATTGAAGTGTTTGGTTTAGTCTATTGTTGTTCAAGTTTGAAATCAATTGCTATGGATTTGGAATTTAGATTTGGCTAAGATTGTTTAAGTGGTGTATGCATGTGGCATATGAACAAGTTCTCTACATTAAATTCTTTGTGTGTATGAAGTCAATCACTTCAGAATATTTTATTTTGATCATTGGTATTGTAACCACTCCAATAAACTTGTTGAAAGGGTAAGTAACCCTTGAAGAGGGCAGGGAGGAAACCTCACTATTCCTGGGTTTTGTTCTACCTGTTAGCCAGTGAAGTTATCCCTGATGTGTTACTTTGATTGACCACTTCATACAATTTCAATCTTACTCAATTTTACAATGCCTGTAATTACTATGACAGACCAGAAATAAGAAACTCAAGCTCAGTTTTCACAGTAGAACATCTGATCAAATTCTGAAAATAACAGATGTAAATACAATTCTCTTTCATGTGAGCCAAAATGCATGATTTAGTTAAAGAAAACGATTCATATTTTTTGTAATTTTGTAGAAGATTTGTTAGTACCAATATTCATTGTGATTTTCCTCACCTCCAGCCTGGTGAACTGGACAAAAAGTATAGTGGCTTGCTGGAAAAGAAATGGACATCGGTAATTCGTCTACAAAAGAAGGTTAGATGCTATCTTTAAGCAGGTATAAGTGATATTCATGGCTGGAGACCATTGTGGATGTTGTCTTTAATATCATGTTTTAATTTTTTCCATACTTGTGATAGTTTCCTTTTGCCCTGGTATAAGACACTTTTTGTTAGTAGACTATGTTGACCTTGAGTCAATGTAATGCATCTAAATATTTTCTTAAGTTCCATTGTCAGAGGGTAGTTGTCTTGGGTAGTTGTCTTGGGTAGTTGTCTTGGGTAGTTGTCTTGGGTAGTTGTCTTGGGTAGTTGTCTTGGGTAGTTGTCTAGGGTAGTTGCCTAGGGTAGTTTTAATCTAAATGTTAGTTGCCTTGGCAAGTTTCGAAATTACCCATATGCTACTATTGCTCTAGCCCTCTTATTTACTTACTTAATGTTTTACATCAGAGTTTTTATTCAGAGTACATGTGCAAGCCCAGATGATTACTATATGACCTTAGCTGAATCATTAATAATATTATCATGTAATCCAAATATTCCATATATTGATTAACCATGTTAATTACAAATCATTAATAGTGTAGTGCCATTTTCATTTGAATGTGGAAAATCCTTTTGTTAGATTTGAATTTACTCAGATGAAGAATTAGTGGAATTAATTAGAATCTTTGGATTAAATCCAATCTGATCAATTTGTTTTCAGGTAATGGACTTAGAATCCAGGCTATCAGAGGCAGAAAAAGAAGCAAGCACAGGTACACATTATAGGGGTTGTTGCAACGTGTGCAACATCTTCATCTGAGGATGTCCCATATTTTCCAGCCACTTACAACAGGAGAACTAATTCTTTTGTCTTGAGTTGAGCTGTCCTTTTGAGAGCTGGAATGGAAAACCCTGGCTGAAATTGTTGTTTCTTTTGCACTGGTAACAATTTTAAATATTGATCAACCAAATAGACAACGTACGGATCAAGGCAACAATGACCATTACTCTTTGTATAGTGACTTGAATAGTACTTGTAATTACCTGTAGTGCAGTACCTTTGTGTACTAAGAAGGGTTAGCATTACTTCCAAATTTCAACATCTATTATGTACCAGAAACAAAAGTAATTAATAAAAGAGAATGATTTTGGAGGGACAACACTCATAGAGATGTGGTCAATTTGTTTGCTTAGGTTCTACATTAAAGAAAACGCGTTCCCCTGAGGATTGGATGCCAAGACCACCAGAACGGTATGCACAGAAGTATTTCAGTGTGTAATCTTAAAACAGCTTTGTGCTGTTCCAAGCATGACCATAATCCCTTTGAAGAGGTCATGTTTGACTTTGGTAATCCTTAAAAAACATCTTGATTTGTTTATTGATTTTATTTCAAACTGTGGCCTTTGAGTCACCCATTTTCTTGGTAATCACTTCTGTCTTTCTGGGCTGTTCATCTGTAAAGAGTGTAAAACTTTGACAGAAATCTTGAGGAAATGAAGAAGTTTAACTTAAAGTTACTGTAAAGTGCTTGTTGGCTTGTCAAAGATGATCCTCTGCTTAAATTATTTTCTTTTGTTTTACTCTTGTAGATATGCATTAACTGGCCACAGAAGCCCAGTTACAAGAGTGTTATTTCATCCAGTATATAGGTGAGATTTGTGAACTTTTACTTTGACTTCATGGGTGATAAACTTATTAAAGAAAGATGTTATTAATTTGTCATGAATTTGGGACAAAGAGATGATGTTGTGTTCACCCCAACAAACTGAACCCCAAACCTTTGGATTGCATGATGTTATGTTTACCGCTGAGCTGCAGATAGCTTGTTAGTCTATATCCATTGAAAAAGTAGCAAAAAATTAGCATTTAGAAAAGAAAATAACACCTGTTTTATTGAACTTACTTCTGCATTTCTTTTAGTGTCATGGTAACAGCATCAGAAGATGCAACAGTCAAAGTCTGGGACTATGAGACTGGAGATTTTGAACGAACCCTTAAGGGCCATACAGATGCAGTACAAGATCTCTCATTTGATCATACTGGGAAAGTTTTAGGTAAGATTTGATTGGACTATAAAAGGATTCTAGATGAAAGCAAATTTAGGAAAAAATGGTAAGAAAGAGAGGACGTTTTTTTTTTGATAGATTATAAACCAGATGTTTCTCTCAGGCAGATGTTTTTAAAATAAAATTTCCTTTGTATTTTTACTCCAGCATCATGTTCAGCAGACATGTCTGTCAAACTATGGGATTTCCATGAATTTGAGTGTATCAAAACAATGACAGGTGGGTGATGTGTTTGTCATGTAATAGTTGTCTTCATAAAGTGAAGCTTCATAAGCTAAATTGTAATTCATTGGGGTACAAGCTTGCAAACAACAATGAGTCCAGCATTTTCTGTAAGTGTGTTTTTAAAGTTATTTATTCTGATTGGTAGACATATTGGAGCACTGTTTCATTAGTGTTTTTTTTCCGCCTGAAGGATTTAGTTTCAAATTATGTTGTGAGGGATAAAAAGTTTCATTTCTGGAACAGCTTATGTGTCTATTTGAGCTTTTGTTTGGGT